AAGCTCTTTTTCTTGATCTTGTTTGTTTTTTGTTTATATATATAATATTTTTAAACGATAGCTACATCGATATTTTTATCGTTGGTTATAATCCTTCATTTTGACCATTTAATGCAATTCAGTCACGTGCATCGAAAGGACTATGAGCGCATCCGTGATGAAATTGACCGCACCGCTGGAAATTGGCCACCGATAATACGGTCAGCCAGTGTTCAAGATCTGCGCCAGGAGCTTTTCTCCGATGCACCCTCAGCGGACACTAGCTCTCGCCGTCACGACGCCTCTGCATCCTGTGGTCGGCATGATGATACCGACGAGGGTGAACTTGACGCCTCCGATCAACATCCACATAATCATAAGCAGTCACTCCAAAGCCAGAGTATGGCCGCCCGTAGCATCGCAACCGCACGCCGTGCCCTCTATCGTGCTCGCAACATTTCCACTAACTCTTCTTCTAGCTGCCAAGAAAGTGCGCCTGTGGCAAGCTTGGTGGGTCAAGAAACAGCCAGTTGTTCTAGTCCCATTGCAACAATCACTCCTGTAATTTCTATTTCAAAGGGCCATGAGAAGACCAAGGTAGAGGGTATCTTTGATGCAGATGACTACACAGGTGCTGATGAGGATGCGGATGACGAAGACCGCGTGCTTGTGCACTCTATTTTTTCAGCCTCAATGGATGGAACTTCTGGTGGTAGTGGTCCTCTTATGGTTGATGTTGGCTGCAGTGGCTTCGGCAGTGCTGGAGCTTCAGACAAACTGGCCAGGATGCCCGAGCCAAATTCACTTGGTCTAGGCATCAATCTGGTTAGTGGTTCCGAAATGGCTACAGTGGCTACGAATACAAATGTCCAACCTGTATCTGTATGTGATAGCGGTAGTCGGGCCACATCTCCACGCTTAGCCATCTCATCCACCGACTCATCCGGCTTGCTGGTGCGGCAGCCAGGAAGCTGTCAACGGCTCTATAGGACTGCATTTATCAAGCATCATGAAGCCGGCATAGAATCCGAGGAAACGGCATCATCAACTCGGCATGCTGGGGCTACTCAAACAGATAGGAAGAATCATAACAACGTGTGTAGCCTTTTCTTTTTTTCTGCTAAGCATAGTGTTGTAGGGCTTCCTCTTCACAGTCTATTCATGTTTACTATATTTATTTTTCGTTTATAAGTAAGGTTACCAGTAAATCAGTTATATAAGATTTATCACTCTATTTCGTTTAAGGTGATGAAGGATTGGTAGTTGAATTTTCCCACAATGGCATGAGTAGAACTGATGTTTCCATTGACTTTCACATAGCCTTGCTTTCTCAAGAGGTGTTCTCATCCAGTGTAGACAACAGTTTCGAACTTGTCTAGGTCTTATAAACATCTCCAACGTGGTTCGAATCATGATAGTGCAGCGTATAATCTCGACACGTTAACCACTACGCCGCACTGCCACGAGTGTCCTTGGTTCACAGGGCAGATGTGAATTTCAAGGAAGGTCAAACATTTTCCTATATCACATTGTTTGGTGGGATTGACGATGAAGCAAAGTTATATTTGCTATAGCAATCGATCACATTACTTATTTTTCGTTTATATGTATGGCCTCGAGACTATCAGTAAATCTGTTATATGAGATGTATTCACCCTATTTCTATTAAGTCCACCCTGGATTAGAAGCCGCTGGATTCTTATTCTTATTCCTATTCCCTCTCTTTCTTGTCTTAGTTTATAGTATGTATGGAATGCATATCGAAAGCGGTCAGAATTTTTGTGTTTGAAAGTCTCACATTCTTTTTTGGGGGGGGGAAATCATGCTGTTTTGGTTATCTTAATGAATGAGTATGGTAAAATGTTAATTTTCAATGGTGGAGAAAAGTTTTGTGCAAAGAAAGTATCATATTTTTCGCTTGATCACGAGTTTTTTCTAAGTCTAACTTTTAGCATCACCGATTATAGTGCCGGTAAAGGGCTCAGGAGTGTAGTTAGTCCACGATTGGTGGCTGGAAGAAGGCATAATTGTTGGTGCGCAGTATTGAATGCCGACAAAACGTACTCGTACTTGATAGAATTCATAAGCACTTTCTTTCGGTTGACTCCTAGGACTGGTTTTTGCACTTTGATGCGATATGCTATTTTTCATAAAGCATTGCAAGTACTAAATGTGGTACTATCTACAACGAAATGTAGACCTTATTTTGTTGTTGAATTTTATCCTAAACTGCCCTCTTAAAACACTTATTTTATTCTGACTTTATTTTTCACGCCTCTATTTATCCTTAATAGCGTTTACTACATGCTCAACATCTAATTAATTATCGGAATGTTTTTGTAGCTGAAATTGCATTATCTATTTACATCTTTTTCGTGAATAAGGATGGAAGTATAACATGATTGGCTACTATGAATTTGTATTGAGTCTTATCTTTACTTCTATTAAAACCTTATTACATCTTTATCATACATCCCGTCCGCACCTTCCAGGTCCTGCGTCGTACACATTCACTGGACCCAAATCTATTAACGCGTCATTCAGAGGCTTATCACTCACGGTCTTTTTTTAACCAGTTGCCTCGACCACACTACCACGACCTTCCGCCGGGCATCGCTTTTGAGTCTCCCTTATTTCCTTGCTGCGGTGACCATGCTGAGTGGCCCATTTTGCGGCAATGCCCTGTGGCTTTCTCTGACCGCAAAGTATCTAATTGGCCACTAATTATAGCTCTTGGCAAAGGCCGGAGTCATAGCTTTGGGGCTTCGGAATGTATAAATCAGCCGTTCTTGGCTGGCGAGCAAGTATCCCGGCCGAGCAGAGTCCATTCACGTCGCCTTCGGACAATCTCCTCTCTTGCAAGGGGCTCCAGCCTCTCTGGTGCTCAGAATGTCACTAAGTCTTGCTCTGAAGCTCCTCTGCTGCCCTCGCAGTCAATGTCTCCTTTATTGATGCACTTGGGTTGTGCCTTTTTGCAAGGCGGGTATCCACCGATCCAACCTATGGTTGATGCTACACTTTTTTCCTCCGATAGCCTATCTTTTCAACCACAATTACATGCTCTGGCTAATTATTCTTCCACATTTGGGGTGCAGCCACAGCCAGCTCATCCTAGTCATATAATTCAACATATCGATCAGCCTAACCCCAATCAGCATCAAGGCCCGAGTAGCGGAGAAAATGTAAGTGGTCTCGCTGATTGGATGGGGGCCTGGTCAACCCAGCCATATTTGCCTCATATCGCCTACTCTATATCATTGCCGCCATGCCCATCTAGATGTCAAATTGACCCCGGATATGCACAGATTCAGTGTCAACCTCGTGCTCAGTCTTCAGTCCATATGCTTGCACACGACTCTCAGCATCTTTTTATTCATCACGGTCAGTCCTGTGGCCAGACCCAGCATTTAGCCCTTTATCCCCAGAACATACAGCAGCAGCAACACCAATTTCCCCAGCCGGCCGAAGGTGAACTGAGCCCTACATCTGACTTGCAAGGAACAGAGGGGCACAAGGAATTACTGGAATATACTTTAGATTCGACTGGTCCTCTTATTGATACTACTTCCGCTGATGAAACCAACGCGGCTAAAGCGACGACATCTTTGGTCCCTATAGCACTAGTTGTAGCGCCATCCGCAGTACCAGAACCTGTTCCACATTTATCACAGTCGTTACCGCTCGGTGTTTCTTCCTTTTATTCATGCTCGAATGAACAATCTCACCTATAACTCGTGATTAGGGAGAATGTTACTGGTCTGTCTTGGGACCTAGCTGCTCCCAGACAAGTTGACATGGAGGAGCCACATGAAGAAAAGACGTATGGAAGGGATTGATTAGCCATTAATACCAATTATCACGGGATCTCATTTTTTAATCATATAGCCTTGAGAAATTGTTTTCCCTACCTATCTTTAGCCCTTTATCCTTTCCTAATTGTACATGCAAGTGTGCACGCATTTATGCATACATTCATTATTTGTAATATCCTATCGCTTATTTATGTCACTGCCAATTCACCCTCAATCCCTATTTTGTCTGCTTTAGGTTCAAATGCGCCTCAGAGCTTTCGTATCAAACTTGCTTTCCTAAATCGCATAAATCTAACTTTAAAATGTTTCATTTCGACTATATCTTTCTCAGCCAAAAATTTCTGATTTTAAATTTTGTTAAGCTCTTTATTTTTCTTACTTGATAGCCACAGTCTTGTTTTACACGCTATTCCTTACTTTAACAAAAACTCTTAAGTCACCCCATTGTTGCCCCAACAAATCCTACTGACCAGTCGTATCTTCTCTTAACCTATGTTTATCATATTATTTCTTAACTGTCATGCATGGACCTTTGCTTCTCCATCATCTGGCACGCCAAACTTCGATTAAGATTATTAGTAATTTCCAATCTGTATTGTTGCTTAGTCATCAGATTTATTTGCTCCCTTACAAGTTCATTTCCATTTTCCTTCAACTCAATACATTGACGTTACAGTCTTAACTGGAACGAGAATCTAAATATTTTGGTATAATATCAGCCTCAGTCCCTTTGCTCTCGGAGGCCATACTTCTTCGATATTCCTCTGCTTCTACGCTTTTTTCTTTCCTGAAATTGTTACAGTCTTCCACTACCCGTATAATATACTTTTTATTTATTTTCTTATCAATTTAATGTTCATCACTACCTACTTTCTGGAATAAACAAATAATTAAATTCCTACTCCTGTCTCATTTTGATGCTTTTTCATGCCCTCTAGGCTTGTCTATTTTTCTTCAACATTGCCTTCCATTTTATTTGATTTCCATCCAATCTCTTTTATTGCTCATCTCAAATCTGCTAATCATGCACTAGCCGTAAACTGTGGCAGGGATCATTGGCATGTAATGGACTTGTCATTCCAACGAATTTGTGAATTAGTTTGTCTTAATAGGATTTGTGCTCATTGCACAGTCTGTGTCACATTACGTGCGTCCATCTGTTACAAGTGTCATATCAGCACAAGCCAAACCTTAGATTTGTCCATGTTTTTTTTGTTTTTGTTCGTGTAAATAGATATACTCGTATTTATTGAGGGCATGAACAGATTTGTCCACAATCAAATCTTCCCCGTCATTTCCACCCTTTATCTGCTGGGGACTCCTTTCAAGGCTGAATCCTTCCTGTCTACTCGAGGCCAATATTCCTTTCCCAGTGTTTTATCTCCCATCCATTTTTAATTAATTGGGCTTTTAGATTCACCCACATTTTTTTGCAATTTAATTTTAAAATTATTTTTGTCCTTGAATGAATGATCTTGATTTTGCACTGGTCTGACGAATTATTACCAAAGCCAAGACACTGCCTATTGCCTTATTGCCTGACAATTTTTTCATGTATCGCAATATGTCGAAAGGAAGCTCGTCTTTATTCACGAATTGTATAATCTTTTTAATGTCAGAAAACCGAATAATAGAAAGTTTGGACATTCGTTTAAGGCTTTTTCTTCTTGCTTTTATGACGATAATCATAGTAAATTACGGTCTTTGCTCCCACAAGTAAACATACTTCTATGAATGTGACGTATTCACCCTATTTAGCTTAATTTTTCCTCAATGCCATGAATAGTTCTTATTTTGACATCGAATTTCTCCTAGTCTTGCTTCCCAAAAAATAATATCCTCCAGGGTGGACTGCATTTTTGACCTAACTCTCTAGTGGGACTCGAACCTAGGTAATGCAGCGTATAGTCTCGTCACGTTAATCATTACGCTATACTGTCACTATTGTTTCTGAGATACAATGCATATTCGAGTTTCAAGTAGGGCCAGGCATTTTCCTATAGCAGATTCTGTTGTGAGATTATTGCTGAAGCGAAGTTGTATTTGCTGTATTCATCGGCTACATTACTTATTCAAAGATATGAAGAGCAAGCTGGTGAGGCATTTTGTGTGGTCGCAGTATCCTCTGGTCGTATAGAATTTTTCGACTTGTTTTCGCAACTTGGTGATATTGGTAGGAAGAATTATAGGAACGCACCTTGTCCGGAGTCTAATGTATGCATGATAATTTCGTAAGTCGGACCGTGTAGGTGTTACATTCCCAGACGTTTCGCCGGCATCGTCAGTGAGTCTTGCTATTCTTAGCACCATACTACAACTCGTCAGAGAAAAATAAGGCCTATCCTTTGGCTAAATGTGTGTAAACATTTGTGGTATCTTTCCTTCTTGCATGAGCTATTCACCTATCCTATATCGTATCACGCCTTCACTATCACAATTTTTCCTTGCTTAGTTAAATGTAATGTAGTGTGCCCTTTTGAGCGGCTTTCATAATAATCTTCCACACTTTAACCTTGTGCTGGGACTGTTGATCAGAGTCTGCCATATTGTTACACAGTCCTTACCTAGGTCTTATCAGAGTCTTCCTCTTGCCTCGTTGGATCCGACTGCTATCTCCCTGGTTCAAGTATTTCCCTTGACCCCTGCCACCCCATCTGTGCTGCTCGAGGCGTTATTACCGATCCTCTGCGTCTGACACACTAACTCGAGGCTAAAACCCCTGAGTACTTCTCATGGTCAGGCCTGTGCTACATGGACCACGTCTATGGTAAAGCAGCCCTACTGTCAGCCAACTAGCTTCAATCTCTGCCGCGTCTATCCTGTTTCCATCCGTAATACTAAGTCTATGACTTGATATGCCCTAGTCTCTTGTGTGCAAACACTCATGTTGTGGAATTGTTTGCTTTGATTAGGTTAAATGTTAAACGACAACGTGTGAGGGTTGGCACTGAAGAGACTAGGGTATGGCAAGTCATAGACTTAGTATTGAGGATAGAGACAGGATAGACGCGTCTGAGACTAGAGCTAATTGTCGGACAGTAGGCCTGTTTTATCACAGACGTGGTCCCTGTAGCAAAGGCTTGACCATGAGGCTTACTCAGAGGCTTTAGCTTCGAATTAATCACCCAGACTCGGAGGATGGGTATTATAGGCTCGAGCAGCACAGATTGGGTGGCAGGGGTCGAGGGAAATACGTTAACCAGGTAGATATCA